TATACCTGGTTCTAACTAGATATCGTAATCGACGATTCATATAACAATTTCAAATAAACATTAAAAAGCATAAGATGAGAATCTCAAGTGATTGGAAGTTCTAAACAGATTATATATTGTAAGACAGATTGATAATCAATTCATATAAAAATTTGTGATCAAAGCGAATTGAGTTTAAAATCGTTGTAGTTCGGGTTAAAATACTTTAATCTGAAATGTATATCAATCTATTATGCGTCATACATATATATGCAATATCGAGTCTCGGATTCGTCTCCCCATCGAGTGTATTAGTTACAGATCCTATCCTAAAAACGAAAAATTATAAGTATTTCTGTGTTCCTAGGAGTACAATGGTACGTGTGAGTTCTCGTCATTAAGCATTCACAATGACATATGGATTCCTTTTCTCAGAATCCTGGAACATATTGTGCGTTGCCACAAAATGGAAAATAAAATGTATTTGAACACTTCAGCGTGTTTGAAAGCACACAAAAAGGATTTGCTAAGTGTATCGGTGATCCTTAGAATAGAATGCCAAAGAATTATAACCTTGACAACTCCTAGTATTGTTAAACAGATATTTTTCGATTCCTCATGCATTTCTAAAAATTCATCGGAATTATGAGTCTCTATAGACGCCAACTAATTAAAGAAAAATGTTTTGAATTTCTCGTTGTATTTTTGACTACTGTAATGCTTTTTTAGAATGCGATTTTCGAGCAGTTCTTCGCTTTTATTTAATGATATTACTCTGAATATTTTTTAATGTAGCGTTTATCATCTGCTTAGTACAAATCTATTCGGAATCTACTGAAACTTTCTGATACGAACACAACTATTTTACATTTTTGTAATTCTTGTGCTCGATGAAATATTCTTATTTTGATTTATCACATTAATTAGTATACATAGCTTATTGATAAGACAATTTTTTTTAAAAGCATCTTTAGTTTTGAAAAATATCCTCTATTAATTACAGCTGTGAAAAGACTTTCTCGTGTTATTAAAATCAAAAGAATGAACGTTCATGAGATGAGCCAAAAAGTATTATCAAACAATTCTCTTACATAAATTGAATGACAATCTTTAATATAGAAATTATTATTTTTGCCTAGTCTAGATAGTTACCGAAGGTTGATCTTACATAGTTATATTGAAATCATCTAATTGATCTTTGTTCAGTTTTATCATTGAACACATGACAAAATATTATACAAATTCTAGATGTATAAATATCATGAAAAGCTGAATTCAGTGAGTAAAATTAATCATTAACAGATATTCTCCGAAGGGGTGACATACTGCTTAACTAAAATCATTGATCAACATCTAACCAACTAGTGTAATCGACGTGTATGACAGTTTTTTATGCAACATGTTGTACGGATCAAATATTTTATAAAAATGATGTTATCTTTCATTGTCAAAATAAAAAATAGTTATGTATATGTTAGATAAGATTTGTGGCTGTTTGATCTTTAGAAAATAATTCGCATACACTTTGTTTTACTTTAATCGATCTGAAACACATGAGTAAAATTAATAATGCATATTTAATTGATTTGATTAGAATGAAAGATTTTTCAGTCATATAAAACTAAGATTATAGTGATTCTTCTCTCATCGTGTGTTTAGTTAATCAACTGAAACCACATCGGGAAACAAAATTACAGAAGAAAACATCAAATATTTGATTTATGATATGATCAATTTCCTGATTACATATTTTTTTTTAATTTCAGTAGTGCGTGACAAAATGTATAATTGATTGTATTTATTTTTATATGTACGATTCGATCAGTAGGCATTTTTGTAAGTTCTACCGTTACATGTTATTCTCAATTTGATCTTCATCGAATATTATCATCAAGCCAATATGATATGCAAAGTTTAGATGCATTAAAATCTCATAAAATACTTCTCGGTATTTTTACGTTCTCATTAATTCGTAGTCTTTTTATTTGTTACATACATATATGTCAGAAAGTGCTTATCAAAAATGATATATTCATATCAAATTTTTAGAATTCCAGTGAAAATACAAAATAATTCAAAAAGAACTTTTGTGTTCTATAATCGATGAGTTCAACAAGTCTTATGAATCACTTGACGATTTATCTACTCTTTAAACCGATATCATAGCATTTCTTGTCATAGATATTCAAATAGTTACCTAAAATTGCTTCATAGTTGAACATCTTATAAATCCATTAAAATGCATCTAGTATAATAATCTATTTTTTATTGAATTCTTTATTCATTCTTGAATTTACCTTCTATGATCAGATCATCATATTCAATTAGCCTTTAGTCCTCATGTCTTTAATTTCTTTTCGTTTTATTTAACTTATATTTAGTTTCAATGGAAATGTTTTAGCTAAATCCTAGCACAAATATTCATGAAGAAAATTCTCTTTGAGAATAATTCATATTGAATTCATTCTCTTGTTGAATGCAACGGTGAGAAAAGAGGCATTTTAAAGACAATACACAAGAACATATTATATTCTCTATTCAACTAATTTATGCAAAGAAAATTTTGTAGTTTAAATTCCAACATATAATACTTTCATTACGAGAATAAAACAATCTAATTGAGCTTGTTGTTAAAAAAAAAACAAAAACAACTTGATACAATGCATTATGAATTGTTTGAAACCTAAGCAAATGCAAACTTTGCACAGTTCCATAGTGTAAACTTTCTTTCAATTTCAAAATTATTTATCAATATTTATTTGCTTTATTTAAACGCTTAGTATTTCTTTAAAATCTTTTGTCATCAAATAGATAATTAGTTTTAGTTAAATTTCGACACATATTTCACACACATAAAACCTTGCACACATTCTTAATGAGCAACTACTGGTTTCATTGTTGTTGCTTCCTCTAAATAATAACATAAAGCAAATTTAGATAAAATTAGTCATAAACTTAAAGTCTGATCGTAGTAAACTACAGTATAAATGAATGCGGGAGCCATTTGAAAGCCAATTTTTAGGTTAATCTTTGTGGTAGTTTCATTTACATCTATTCCACCCATTCCAATAGTCGATTTAACAACATAAATTTGACTTGTATTACTACTATCTTGCATGCCAACAGCTAAATAGTTGTTATAAACTATGGGTAATGTACGCGAAGGAATTTTGATGGTTTGCCATTGTGTAGTATTTTGTTGAGGTTTGATGGCATAGCGATATGTAATGCTATGGTCAAACATAACTCCCGATATGACAAATATGTAAAGCGATGTAGTATCTTCCCAATTAGTAAAAAGACGAAAACTAACGCTACTAATATAGCCACTAAAACGAGACGCCAGATTGGGATAGTAATAAATAGTATTGCCAAGTGACTGACCATTAGTTTCATATTCTATAGGCTCGGGATAAGAATGATTTTCGACTAGAAAACAAAATGTTATAATAAAATTTGGCAACATTATTAACATGAAAAGTACATAACTGACATTTTTCTATTTGATTAACAACTGTCGTATATGAAGTAGGTTGTTCAGAGCTTATAACAAAATCCATTGTAGTTATAATATCAGGTAAATTTGTCGATGGCATATATTCGATATAATCTATACAAATTATATGAAATCTAAATTTCATTTTCAATGCACAACATCTTTTATTACTTGTGACTTTTGTTGTAACTGGATTTGAAATTCGACGAGGTGCTGAAAAAAAAACAAAATTATCATGACTTGTGTGTATATAATTACTAACTTAATTATAATGTTTAAATATAAACTTACGATTGAAATATTTAAATAACATTAAGCCCAACACTATGAATAATCCAAAACTAATAGTAGCCAATAATAGTCCTAAAAACTTTCTTTTTCGAGCTCGACCAGCACTAGAAGTCATTATTGCAATCATTGATAATAAGATTGATATAGATAATTATATACCTGATTATAATTAAACTTTCCATTTGATTATCCATTTCACCGAAGAATCAGATTGAATTTAACTGAAATCGTTGATAGATATGCAACTGACTAGTGAAAATGAAGTCTGTGATATTTGCAACTCGACAGATTGGATTCTATAAATATTTAAAAATAACTTTGTTCTAATCTCGAAAAGGAAATAACAAAAATGCATTTTCATATGTTATCTAAGAATGAGAGATGTTTTTATCATTAATAAATAGTCCATTGACAATGTTTTTTACTTTAATTGATATGACGCACAAGAGAAAAAAATTTGCGAAACAAGTTAGACTGATTTAATAAGAATTTAATGTTCTTTATGAATTCTAAACGGCGATCAATCTCTGTGAATGAATTACCACCGACTCTAGCCAATATACTCCGAAAACTGGTAGAAACTTGAAGGCAACTATCTAGTAACCAGATCCGGTGGTTAGCTCTGCCAGATTGCAACCGAAGCTAGAGAAATACAGTCAACTACCGGATTCTTGCTTTCATCAGATTCACATTATGTTTTGAAATTTTTCAGCGGGACATGATGACTTTCCGGTGTATCGGGACCCCGGAATCATTGGCCTGTGAAAATATCTCTTCCGTTACCGTGTGGACAGTCAAAATGATCAGAAAGTGTAAATTAATTGAAAAGAGGCAGACCTTTCTCACTGAAAGAAAAAAAAATAAGCTCCATCTGTTGATCTCAGCTTATACTGTTCAGCTATTGACTGTGTTGAAGTAAGTCATAGTATATGCAATGTAATGTGCTTAGTAAAATAATGATTAAAAAATTGAAGAGTTCATGTTTCGCACATGTTTTGTATTTGTGGCCTAAAGATAGTACTCTTCAAGTCTATATAACTAAATGTATAATTGAAATTGTAGAAAAACAGAACAATCAATATATGAATTCTTAAGATATGAAAAAAATTGCATTTATGATGATCAATTCATTTATTTCTCGATGATGACCATATGTTTAATTATTCGAAAATAAAAAAAGAACGAAACGAAGTATGACATCAATTAGTTTATTGTTGAATGTATCGACAGTAAATTAATATTTACTTGATAATTGATATCATGTCTATGTTTATTATCCTTTATTTATTGCAAAGCTCATTTTTCTTATTCGTCAATAACAACTATTACTTTTGTACGAGACAAACATTTAATAATATCGTACGTATGGTAATAAATATATTCATTAAATGTATAAGCTATTGCTTTCGATAATGGTCACGGTTTTGAAGAAGGCTTATAATGTCGATAGCAATATAAACACATAATGAACGATCAATATCATCATAATCAAGTAGCTAATAAAAGTGTACATATTGATGAAATGTATGATCATAAAATTGTTTATGTTAGTTTTGTATATTAATTCAGGGATATGCTAAAGTAGTTAAAATTGAGAAAAATAGGTAGAAATGTTTTTAAGGAAATCAATGCATTTTGCAGAAAATCGTAAATCATCGAATAATACAAATCAAATTTCCTAAAATTGTCGAGGAACTATGAATGGTAGTTTAACTTTAAGAAAATCAAAGTTAAAGTAGTTACGTTGAAGTTGTTTGTCAAAAATCACCATTGACTTTTGTCTTTATTATGAGAGATAGTTCAGCGTCATCTGTCAGTTACATTATCGAGTAACTAAACATTTCTCGGCCTGTTCTCCGATAAAGAAAATTCTATTTTATATCGATTGCAATTTCTCAAAACTTTGACCCGAGCTTGTCGACATCGAAGAATCTGTGATTCCATGCTATTACTTCAACCAATTTGGTATTAACAAGATGTTTTGCTGTTCCAGTACGGGCGAAGCATGGTGTTATTCAGGCCAATCAGGAGGTCTTCTCATATTTGACTCAGAGAATATCGTGTCTTGTGTGTATAAGCGAGTAGAAAAATATCATATTGATACGTGATTGGTTGAAGAAAGAGCAAGGAAATACACATTCTTCAATGTCGACAAACAATGGTCAAAGTTTTCAATGATTGCAATTGAAATAAAATAGATTTTTTTTACCAGAAAACAAACTAAGAAATTTTCAGTTACCTGGTCATGTAGTTGGCCGGTAGTGCTAATCTCCCTCTCGTAGTTAAGACAGCAGTCAAAGCTAATTTTTTAGGCCATATTCAAAGTATCTACTTTAACTTTGATTTTCTTTAAGTTAAAGTGTCATCCCTAATTTAAGCTCTATGCGACATTTCTTTTCGATTATTTCTTACACAGTATTGCAAGAGTAAAATCTTTCTGTCATTAAAATTCGTCATTCCAGACTTGAAAGGCTTCGCCATCATATGGACATTTTAAAAGACTTATAGCATTTATATAACAATAAAACTTAAAAGAACAAATAATGCAGCTAAAATAGTTCAAAAAGACATAATCCCATTGGCTCTCTAATTGTAAAATTTCTTTGAATTCTTTTGTGTCATTAATTTTTGAAAATGGAATGTCTCTATGAATATCAAATTTACAAGAATTACAAAAAGAAGATTATCAACGTTATAGATAAACATAAAAGTAATAAAAATTGTTTGCAGCTATTGATGAATTTCTTTATTAAATTCAAATGTTGAAGTATCTATTGTTAAAATTATAATCTTTTATTATTTGATTAAAACGTGATGAGCGAGCTCTAATAGCTCGTAAATCACTAAGTTTCTCTACTCTGCTATGTTGGTTTTCAGTCTATGATTTTTTCCATAGTGTTGTCGACATTTTACTTGAAAAAAGAGATATGACAGCCACATCAATGAGTAGGTTATAGTCAAAAATGAAATTCACTCGAATTCGAAAACTTGTCCGAACAAAAGTAAAATTCGATTTTTGATATGATTGTCTTAAGACAATATTAGGATTTCAATTTTGCTCAGATGCGGAATTGTAATTGGACTAGAAATAAATTGATCAAGTCGACCTCACTCACAGTTTGAACAAGTAACGTGATTTTCCATTTAACAGACTTTTTTTTTATAGAAAAGACTTTTGATTTTTAGTTGTTAAAAAATCAAAAGACGTTAAAATGACATTA